TCTCCCTTTTGATATGGAAATGTCCATTCTATGCCTATCAGACCATTGTGTTTTTGAATCATATAACTTGTTTTCTGGTTTCACAACTCCACAATTGAAGAGGAATTTTGCTCCAGAATGGGCCATACCCCAAGTCTCATTTACAGATAACTGATAAATGATTTAGATGATGAGATTTGAGAATTTTGATTTGATGATTTTGGACTTAGAGTTGATGCTGGAACCTATTAAGACTCTGAGATGTGGGATTAGGTGAATGTATTTTGCATATTTGAAGGACATGAATTACAGGGGGCTAGAAGACATGGACTATAGTGGGTTGAATTTTGTTCCCCCCAAAATGTGTTGAGGTCCTATTAATGTGAACTTAAATGGAAATAGTCTTTGCAGATGTAATCAAGTTAAGATGGGTTATACTGAATTAGGTTGGGCCCTAATCCACGATGACTTATCTCCTTATAAGAAGAGAAAAGCCACAAGACACATGGAGGGGAATCACCATGTGATGATGGAAATAGAATTGAAGTTAGAAGCTGCAATCCAAGGAATGCCAAGGATTGTTGGCTACCACCAAAAGATAGGAAGAGGCAGGGAGTGATTCTACCCAGAATCTCAGAGGGAATGTGGCTCTGCTACCATGTTCATCTTAGACTTATAGCCTCCAGAACTGTGAGAGAATAGATTTCTGTTGTTTTAAGCTATCCCAATTTGTTGTGATTTGGTACAGCAGCCCTAGGAAATAATCACCTCTGCTCTCTCTTGCTTACTATTTGCATGAAATATTTTTTTTCCGTCCTTTTATTTTGAACCTATTTGTGTCTTTGGATCTTAGGTGAGTCTCTTATATAAGACAGAATATAGATGGATCATTTTTTTTAAGTCCATTCTGCTTATTTCTGCCTTTTGAGAGTTTAATCCATTTACATTTAAAGTAATTACTGATAAGGATGACCTTATGCCTTTTTCCTATATGTTTTCTACATGTCTTAATATCTTATTTTGATCTTCTTTTGTATTTCCTTTAGTATTTGATATTTTTGTTGTAGTATGTACCATTTTGATTCCCTTCTTATTTTCTTTTCTGCGTGTTTTTCAGTTATTTTCTTAGCGGTTACCTGGGGGTTATATTTGATATCTTAAACTTAACTGTCTAGTTTAAATTAATGCCAATTTAGCTTCAGTAGTAAACAAATCTCTGGTCTGTATCATTCTCTTCTTCACTCTTTATGATGTTACTGTCACAAATTGTATCTTTTGATGTGTGCCCATTAACATAAATTTTTAATTGTTGTTTTATACATTTGTCTTTTAAATCATATACGGAAATAAAGAGGAGTTCTAAACCAAAAATACAATAATACAATTTTATATTTGCCTATGTAAGTACCATTATGAGTGGTTTTTTTGTTTTTGTTTTTGTGACAGAGTCTCACTCTTTTGCCCGGGCTAGAGTGAGTGCCGTGGCATCAGCCTAGCTCACAGCAACCTCAAACTCCTGGGCTCAGGCGATCCTTCTGCCTCAGCCTCCCAAGTAGCTGGGACTACAGGCATGCGCCAACATGCCCGGCTAATTTTTTCTATATATTTTTAGTTGTCTGATTAATTTCTTTCTATTTTTAGCAGAGATGGGGTTTCGCTCTTGCTCAGGCTGGTCTCGAACTCCTGAGCTCAAACAATCCACCCGCCTCAGCCTCCCAGAGTGCTAGGATTACAGGCGTGAGCCACTGCGCCCGGCCCATTATGAGTGTCTTTACTTATGGCTTTGAGTTGCCATCTAGTGTCCTTTCATTGCAATTTGGAGGACTCCTTAAAGCATTTTTTGCAGGGCAGGTCTGCTAGTGACAAACTCTGTTTTTATTTTTCTGATAATGTCTTAATTTCTCCTTTATTTTGAAAGGATCAGTTTGCCAACTATGGAATTCTTGCTTGATAGTTTTTATTTTTTATCGCTTTAAATATGTCATCTGCTGCCTCTGTCTTCCATGGTTTCTGATGAGAATTAGGCTGTTGATCTGATTGAACACTCTTGTTTCCAATGAGTCACTTCTTGTTATTTTCATGATTCTTTGGCTTTTGACCGTTTGATAATGTGTCTGTCTGGGTGTAGATCTCTTTCATTTATCCTACTTGCAGTTCATTAAACTTCTTGTTTTTATGGATTCATGGCTCTTAGTAAAGTTGGGAAGTTATCCTCCAATAATTCTTCAAGTACTCTTTCTGCCCATTCTCTCCTCTCCTTCTGGAACTCTTATTGGTATGCTTAGATGGTAGTCTGTGTTTGTTGAAACATTGTTTTTCTCATTTCTTTTAGTTCTTTGTCAATGATTTCCTTTAGCTCTTTGAGCGTATTTTTTTAAAGACCATATTCTTTGGTCTATGTGGTCTCTAAAGACTGTTCCTTTAGCTTGTGTTCAGCAAATGATTTGACACAGATTTCCTTAAATGTCTTGTTTAACTCACTTTTTTCTTTTCAGCTGTAAACCTTGTTTTTTTGTAAACCTTTTATGTATTTTCCAGAGTTTCTACAAAGTTAATTCTGACAGTGTTTGTTCATTATGTGCATGTGTTTCTTTGGAGATACATTTTTGCTGTCACTTTCTGACAGTGCTTTTTATTTTTATTTTTTTAAGATTAGAGTTTTGGGGGTTGAGTAAGATAGGCCAATATACTTTATTCATAAACATAACCTGTTTTTTATCAATTGGTCTAATTTATTGAATGGACAAGATTGACAGTATGGGAAGTTGTGGGCATACAATTCCTTTTATTGTGGAGAAGAAAGAGCTTTATTGAGTACAAGAGGTTATGGAGTGGGTTCAAAGTCTAACTTGGTGGAGTTGGATTGAGGAAAAGAAAGATTTTTTTCTTTCTATTAAATGTTGTAATACTTCATATAGGGTGTTGAATTGCTCTCTTCGAAGAAATTCTTTTAAAAATCCTTGATTATTAATCTCAAAATCAAAGTTATCACAGTTAGATAAGCATACCTAAATCTAGATCTTGAACAAGTTGATCTTGAACAAGTTGCCTCCTTTGACCATCCATTTACTTTATAAGTAAAACTTATTGGATTGTACTTAGACTAGATGGTCTTTAAGGTGTCACCTCTAACATTTTAGAATTAAAATAGCTCAGATAGAAGAAGGGTGAGAAAGGCACTAATTTCATTCCATTATGTTAATACATTCTGATAACACTTTAAAATACTATAGCTGAAGCTAAAGTAGCTCTCTGTCACCACTTTGTTCCATAGTGGAGGAAACTATTTTTTAGACTTAAATTTTAAGAAAAATATTACCATACTCTTCATAGCGTTTTGTGTCTTTTTTTACACTTAACAATTTTTTGGCCCAACAATTCTGTGTCTCTATAGATAACCTCTACAAGTATTTCTTCATGGTTTATTAAAATACTTTCTCATTGACAGAGGGTTAGTTGTTTCTGCTCCTTGCTATTACAAACATGCTACAGTGAACCTCCATGTGCCAGTTTATTTCCTGGGGTAGATCCTTAGAGGTGAAATTGCTGGACATATTTTTAGACCTTCCCTGAAGGTAACCAGTATTTATCAATTTCTCATATGTTCTTCCAGTAGTGTTATCATACATAAGATGTAAATATCTTTTATATGGACACATACATATATACTATAATTCATAAAAGCAATCCCCTTCCAGTATTTTGTTTTCAACTCTTTTGCTACTTAAAAAGTATACATAAGTCATTTTATAAGTGTGATTGTAATTTTGTAGGATAAATTTCTGGTAGTTAAATTTCATGTGAAAAGGTATATGCATTTATAATTTTGACATATATTGCCAAATTGTCGTCCATAGAGGTTTTGTTAATATCCATACTATCTGTGTATTAGAGTGCCTTTTTCCTACAGCCTTTCTAATACAGTGTGTTGCCAAACATTTGGATCATTGCTGGTATGATAGGTGAAAAATGATATCGCACTATTGTTTTCATTTGAATCTCTCTTGTTATGAGTGGATTGAGCTTTTTTTGTTGTTTGTATGTTTGAAAGCCATGTTTTTACTGAGGTGCCATTTTTTTTATTGGATTGTTAGACTTTGCTTATAGTTGATTTTTCTGTGTAGAAAATTGTTTTTATGTAGTCAGATGTGTCAGTCTTATGACCTGATATTTTGTTTGATTACGAAGGCCTTTCAACCATGCTGAAATTATTAAAAGAATCTTCCATTGTCAAAATGAGCTCACTTCTAAGTAATAAGCTACTCGAGGTATGAGAGCCAGTGTCTAATGTTAACTTCTTATTATTTATTGCTCAGGAGAGGATGACCTGCCTCACTTCATTCACCCTTAAAGTATGAGGAAATACAGGGTAACAATAACAGATTTTGTTTGTGTGCTTGTGCACAGTGTATCATAGGATAACTGAAACAGAACAACAGCGGAGCTGGACTTTGCCCTGCCTTAGGATTGCTCTGTAGAGTAATTCAAATTCATAGTATAGTTCTAAGTAAAACTGTTGATTACAGTGAAGGCAAGACATTCCTGTTAGGGAATTCCTCTTTAGCATTTTCTTACAGAATTGTTTGGTTGTTAAAACTAGATCTACAGTTCATTCATTCTTTTTGGTACTTATGTAGTTCTAGTCATCTTTCTGGGACCACTTAATTTAGTTTTTTCAAACTTAGATCTAAAGCTTAGAATTCCACCAACTGAATTACTTAGGTGTGTTTTGTGTATTTGTATTTAGCATTGCATTTTTTTAGTCGGTAAGGCAATATAAAATTACTGCTTCGCAACATGACGTTTAATTTCTTCAGAGCGATGACATTGAGGATAAGTTTTACCTAATTTTCCTCTCATCTTGTTTTTTCTATTATTTCAGTATAAATCAGGGGTTTTTCCCTTTTAAAAAAACATTTAATTTATCCTCTTCTTTGACTATATTTACAATTAGTGGGTATACAGGGATGGTTATTGGTTAACTATAAACTTTAAAAATAATAATATATGTTTTTATCTAGATCCCAAGGAAGAGAAAGAAGAAGACGACAATTCTGCCCTCCCTCAGGAAGTTTCCATCGCTGCAACTAGACCTAGCCGGGGCTGGCGCAGTAGTAGCAGGACATCTATCTCTCGCCATCGTGACACAGAGAACACCCGAAGCTCTCGGTCCAAGACTGGTTCATTGCAGCTTATCTGCAAGTCAGAACCAAATACAGATCAGCTCGATTATGGTACAGTACAAGTAGAATATGGTTACTTATAGCCAGTTCCTTCTTTATTTTAAATGTAATGTTGAACATTTACATAAATAGCTTAAATTTCAGGGATGAGTGTGTCATAGGTAGGATTTCTTTTTGATAATTTGCAGATATTCTTCCTTTGTATAATTACCTCATGTAGTAATTGCTTAGAATCTCTTGGCTATGAGAGAAAATATATCTACATAAATAAAGTTTTATCTTGGCTTTATTTTTTCAGATGTTGGAGAAGAACATCAGTCTCCAGGTGGCATTAGGTAAAAAAAAAAAAAAAACTTCAAATTTAATATTTAAACCTTTGGGGACATAGAGCATAATTGTATTAAATGATTTAGAAGTTTTCTGCTTGAAAAGATTTTGAGCTGTAAGAGAAATTAACTTCAGTTTTAATATTAAATTTAGGAGATTTCACATTGATCTTAAGTAGAGCTTTAACCATGTAATTTTTAGTTACATAGTTTAGAAACCATGTCTTCAATACCTTCTGTTTTGAGGCTTCTTCCATGCTAAGCACTATTGTGAAATGTGGGTGTTTTTACCAGGGTTTTGAGGCTTTGTCAGTATCTTGTATGGTAAGTCATAATTTTTGTCTGTTAATTCTTTTTTGATACAGCAGATTGCTAGACATAGTATTTCAAAGTCAATTGTTTTTTAACTTTGAGTGCCATTGAGTAGGTACCACCCTACCTTTATTTAATAAAGTGATTACATATCTAGGATTTATGTATTTTTAGTTCAAATTACTATTCTTTAGGATAAAGCAGCTAGATTTTAGTCCAGCTAGATAAAAAGGATGAAAATCCTAGATAATGTGAATTTTTGGCAACTTTTAAATAAATTACGTAATAAAATTCAGCCAGACTTGATCGTTACAACCAGACTTTATCATTTCTATTTGCTTATTTTTAGTAGTGACGAGGAAGAGGAGGAAGAAGAAATGTTAATCAGTGAAGAGGAAATACCATTCAAAGATGACCCAAGAGATGAGACCTACAAACCCCATTTAGAAAGGTATGTACCATATTTTACTCCAGACGTGTCAGTGAAAAATAAGTAGGAAAGCACCGTTGTATGCTTTTGTCTTGTTGCCAAACTAATGGGTATAGAATTAATATTAAATGAGTAATCAATTATTTTGCAAATCTGATATCATACCCTTGTACAATTCTCTCTTCCATTTATAGTACTTTATTTTAATTATATCCAAATTTTTATGATGTCTGCATGTTTTATCTTAATAAGGTATCATGAATTGCCTGAGTGCTTAGAATTTTTTTATTTATTGTCCTGTTTCTCTTTAAAATGACAGTGAGATTTGATTCTTAGGCGTCTTTAACTTGGGGGAATCATCCCATAGGCATGCTAACTATATATAAAATTACAGTACATGTGAAGAATAGTTGGTGGGAGATGACATTTCATGAACTGATGATCATAATTTTAAAATAAATTGATGATAACCTTAAGGTTTAATTTGTTGTTATACTCTTCCTTGAAAATATCCTTTCTGGGATACCAGTGTTGAAATGTATTTGTGTTTTCAGGGAAACCCCAAAGCCACGGAGAAAATCAGGGAAGGTGAAAGAAGAGAAAGAGAAGAAGGAAATTAAAGTGGAAGTAGAGGTAGAAGTGAAAGAAGAAGAGAATGAAATTAGGGAGGATGAGGAACCTCCTAGGAAGTGAGTAGGCAATTACTACTGAAAATGAAAATCAAACAGATTTTGAAACTACTGGTGGAAAAGAGGGGTAGGAGTGTGAGGAAGGATGTTGACACATACATAGTTCAAAATATGTATTTTTTTTTTTTAAATTAAGAAAATTTGGCCTCAAGCAGCTGACAGTTTCATTGAAGAGGTTTTTTTTCCTAGGCTTTTTGGTTCTATTGCGTGTATCCTTCATGACCTAGTATAGTTTATATTCTTAGGCTTTTGGGATAATAGACTTACTCTGCTTTTTAAATTGACTAGATTTAGATGATAGACTATAATAATTCTTCAAGCAATACATTGAGGTATATCCAAATCTTTTATAGTAATGCATAATTTATTGAAAGTATATATTTAATCTGTGATGCAGACTGATTTTGAAGGTGAAATTACTTTAGAGTAAAATCTTGCTTGATTTGCCAGATATGTCTTTGGCTTTATGTATTCAGGGTTATTCTTTGAGTCTGCCACCTGTTCTTTGCCCTTAAGTGTGTGTGTATATATATATGTCTTCAGTCATCCTTCACTCTAAGTTTCAATACAGAATATGTGGATAGTTATTCTGTCTTTAATTGTAGGAGAGGAAGAAGGCGAAAAGATGACAAAAGTCCACGTTTACCCAAAAGGAGGTGAGGAATTTATACTCCTGCTGTTTTGCAGCTTATTTTGGTGCTAGGCACTTTGCTTACATATTTAGACCTAATAGTAATCCTGTAGGAATGAATGGCTATTTAAAAATTTCACAAAAGCAACTTCATTAATGTTTTTGATGTATACGTTTTTATTTTCTTTGCAGGATCTTGAAGTTTCTAAAAATCTTAATACTTCCTCTTTACATTTTTGAGAGTTACTGATTTATTTGTGCTATTTTAAAACTATCAAACATTTGGTAATTTCTGGTTACTTCTAACACAAATTATGTGCAGGCTATATACCAGTAAAGAGATTTGAATTCTTCATATTCTAAAATTGCAGTTCCCTATAGCACAGTTTGAGTTATAGGCCACAATGTGGAGAGTGCCACTTTTCTGTTGCTAACTTTTCTCCTACATTTTGATAATAGAAAAAAACCTCCAATCCAGTATGTCCGGTGTGAGATGGAAGGGTGTGGAACTGTTCTTGCTCACCCTCGCTATTTGCAGGTCAGTGAAGTTGTTATTAAAAGGCAGCTTTTCGGGTTATGTTCCATTGCTTGTTCTCATACCTCATGAGACTTTATAATTTGTTGGCTTGTGTAGACTTTATCATTAACATATAATGTTAAGAAAATCTTTCTTTAAACATAAAATTACTTTAGTTTTTCTATCTTAGTCGTTTGTGCTGTTATAACAGAATACCTGAAACTGGGTAATTTATAAAGAACAGAAATTTATTATTAATAGCTCATGGTTCTGGAGGCTGGGAAGTCCAAGAATATGGCACCAGTGTCTGGCTAGGGCCTTATTACTCTGTCAGTCCGTGGCGGAAGGGCAAGAGGAAGGGTGGATCCCTTATGATCTAAGCACCTCCCATTAGTCTCCACTTCTCAACACTGTTGTATTAGGGATTCAGTTTGCAACACGTGAACTTTGGTGGACACATTCAAGCATAGCACATTTTATCTTAAGAAAAAAATGTGGCTAAGAACCTGAGCCCAAATAGAGGACTTCCCTTGGAAAGTTGGAATCTTGGAATATTATAGTGTTTCCCAATGTGGTGTAAATATTTCTGATATAAGAGATGATTGTAACAACATACCAAGACACAGAGTAACAATTTTATTTTAATGTATATTGGGAAAAAAGTTGAATTAGCAACTCATACCAGACTTTGATACTGTATAGAATGAATAGAAGACATTTAGTTTGGGTTTTGTTTTTATTTTTCTTAAGTAAGTAGATTTTTTTTTAATGAATAAAGGTCCATCTTATATTTAGGTCTGGCAGAAAACATGAAAGTGAAATACTGCTTAGGAAATGCCTATTTGATCTTTAGCAGCAAGTATAACATGAGACCAAGGCCTTACTTTTTGGATTGTGATTCTGTTATAATAATAGCTAAATGCTTTTGCTGTATGTCATTTGCTGCACTAAGCACTATGCAATGTATGATTTCTTTATCCCCACACCACCACCATAAGCTATTGTTATGTCCATTTTACAAATGAGAAGTGGAGCTTCAAATAGTTAAGTACATTTCCTAAGATCACACTGCTAGTGAATGACAGACCCACTTTGGAACCCAGGTCTGTATATTTCCATAGCCTATGTTCTTAACCATTTTAATAAACTGTCTCATTATCCATATACAAAGTACTTGGTTATTGGTTTTACTCTGCACTTATCACTTAGCAAAGAAAAGAGCTTTCAGGAAGCCTTAGTTTTTATCCCTTTTCACTTTCTTTTACTGGTTTAGCATCACATTAAATACCAGCATTTGCTGAAAAAGAAATATGTATGCCCCCATCCCTCCTGCGGACGACTCTTCAGGCTACAGAAGCAACTTCTGCGACATGCTAAACATCATACAGGTACTTTTTAAAATACAATGTTTATGAATTAGCTAATTGCACTATACTTTAGATGTGCAGATTGGTAGCGATACAATTTTTTCTAATATAAATCTTCTTAATAGAGTCTATAGTCAAGTGTAGGATAAAGTGTGGGATAAAATGTAATAAGACATTTTCTTTCACAAGGGATGACCAAACTAGGGCTTTTGAACTTTTATCCTTTGATGATTTTGAGAACTTCTATGACTAGGATAATGATCTTTTATTCAGTATTTATTGTGATATCAACTGTGGACTAAATACTTTATGTATATTGTTGCTAATCTATCCACTCAACACTACTAAGTTTGTTTATATTGCCTTGTTTTACAGCTAAGAAAACTGAGGCTTAGCACTACTAAGCAACTTGCCTGTAAAACATAGCCTATTTTTTGCAGAAGCAGAATTTTCTAGTTCTGCTTCAGGTAGATACTTGTAGTAGCTATTATGGATTAAAAAAGTGGGGCATATGGGGAGGAAAGCCTAAATGTAAAAGGTTTGCTTATAGTTTGTGGTTAACCATTCAATAGCCCTTGGAACTTCTGCTATAGAAATCGTAAAGACTAGCTATTGAATTTGTATACAAACTGCTGTGGAACGTGTTGACTCAAAAAGAGAAGCTGAGAGTCTTTATAATACATATTATAGACTCAAATTCCACTTATTTGTAACCATTGATAATCTCATTGCAGTACAGTTAATAGGGACAGATTGAGCTGAGTACATACCAAGAGTATGTGCCAGACATATGATTATTACATATGTTGTCTTCTCAGTGATCTTAGTGAATAAAACTAAGAATTTCAGTTGCAGAACTATCATGTCTCCTGCCCAAGGTCATACTGATTCAGATATTCTGTCTCCTTAATTTACTATTAGGCTAGTTACTTTACTTCTCCTTTTCCACGTTGGTAAATAAAGGATACCAATATCAGAGTTATTGTAAGGATGAAATGAGATAACATATAAATTGCTATTTACTGCACAGAGCCTGGCACATGGAAGACTTTTTCAAAACACCAGGATTTGAACTTGGATTGTAATCATTTCAAAGTCTACAATCTTTTCTTTGTATCATGTTTTTTGAGAGAAAATACTACTTTCACTGTTTCTTGATAGGTGCTACAGTTTCTTTACTCCTGCTCCCCGTTAGTACTGTTTTATGCCACAGAAAAGTAATTTCTGACAACCAGTTTTAAATGAAAGTAGAAATTATAGTGGTCATTCACTCAACAAATGTATATTTCAAAAATAAAATAAAATAATTGGGGTAACTGAGCTGCTATAACAGATAACCCCCTAATGTCCAGGGCCTTAATAAAATAAAGGTTTCTCAGGAAAGTAACATTCAAAAAAAAATATATCTATATATATTGAGCACCTTTGTGCTCATGGGCTCCCCAGCCACCAGACGGTAAAGAAATAAAAAAGTACAGTGCTCCTTTGTCTCATAGATTCCACACCATGTTATCAAATTCATCAAAAATTCTGTGTAGTGGTGTGGGAGGGTTGTACAATAACAGAGGGAAGTAGTTGAATGATAGAGAAGATGTGGAGTAGGAGAATAAGATAAAGAAATACAAGCACTGCTTGCATGTATATGACAGCAGCAACTCGAGTCTTTTGAGAGAAGTTTAATTGTTTATCTTGGGTAACATTTTTAAAACCTGAAACAGAGAGTATGATTACCATTTTAGATGTGGATCAGTTTTCTTCTGCAGAATGCCAAATTCTTTTTTTGTTTTGTTTTAATGCCAGATTCTATATTTGCATTCAGCTTTCATGATCTGTGAAAAAACTGTTTTGAAGAATAAGATTCATGGAAAATGTAGTTGTTTACTTGGTGAACAATTTACCTAAGACCCGGATTAATGATAAAATTGGGATTAGGGTTCTAGTTCTCACATTTCTGTCTGGTTTTTTTGAGTTTTTCTAAACAGGTTCTTATGTTACTAAATGAATGGGTTTTAAATAAAGAAAGATCAAAACCATATATATATTTTTTTAATTTTGTTTACCTAAAGTGTTTATACATTGAAAACAACATAGCTTTTACTCTAAATTGACCTGCCTGATCATCTGCTTACTTATTATAAGCTAGAGAGAATACTTAGAGGGTGTCTGAATAGAACACTAACCACATTATTTTTCTTAGATCAAAGGGATTATATCTGTGAATATTGTGCTCGGGCCTTTAAGAGTTCCCACAATCTGGCAGTGCACCGGATGATTCACACTGGCGAGAAGCCATTACAGTGAGTATTTATTTACTGATGAACATCTGGGTGAGAAGTGTATATATCCCACTTTAAGGTTTGCCCATTTACAAACATTTCAGCTGTCACTGCTATTGACTTTTATCAAATTAAAAAGTGGGTATTGATTGGGGGAGCTATTTCGTGGCTTTTTTCTTCATTTTCCTCTGTTTTTCAAGCAAAGAAGGAAAAAAAAAATCAATAGTTTTCCATTTAGTAACATTTCCTAATCTTTCACAAGAAGTTTGTTACTGATAATTGTATATATATATATGAGCTTCTCGCCCTGACCCTGAATAAGAGCTCTCCTTATTTATGTTTGACCAGCCATTTCTTTTCCACTCTCTTCAGGTGTGAGATCTGTGGATTTACTTGTCGACAAAAAGCATCCCTTAATTGGCACATGAAGAAGCATGATGCAGACTCCTTCTACCAGTTTTCTTGCAATATCTGTGGCAAAAAATTTGAGAAGAAGGACAGCGTAGTGGCACACAAAGCAAAAAGCCACCCTGAGGTGCTGATTGCTGAAGCTCTGGCTGCCAATGCAGGCGCCCTCATCACCAGCACAGATATCTTGGGCACTAACCCAGAGTCCCTGACACAGCCTGCAGATGGTCAGGGTCTTCCTCTTCTTCCTGAGCCCTTGGGAAACTCAGCCTCTGGAGAGTGCCTGCTGCTGGAAGCTGAAGGGATGTCAAAGTCATACTGTAGTGGGACAGAACGGGTGAGCCTGATGGCTGATGGGAAGATCTTTGTGGGAAGCGGCAGCAGTGGGGGCGCTGAAGGGCTGGTCATGAACTCGGATATACTCGGTGCTACCACAGAGGTTCTGATTGAAGATTCAGACTCTACTGGACCTTAGTGGAAGGGAAGACTTGGGGCACTGGGACAGCTCAGACTTTGTATTTAAAAGTTAAAAAGGACAAAAAAAAAAAAATTTAAGCATTTAAAATCTAGTAAAATAACTGAAGGGCCTGCTCTTTCCATTGTGGATCACAGCACACATATATACACACACACCTCCCATCCTCATCCCCTGTTCTCCCTCTGTTGTCCCCCTTATAAAATTGATACTGTCTTTACCAGAAAGGTAGACAAAAAAGAAGCAGAAGCTCTTAAAGTGAGGGTTATCCTCATACTCACTTCCAGCCAGCAGCAGACTTCCTGCTCATCGGCAGATCCCCTTTTCCAACCTGTAACTCTGATGTGCTCTGGATCAGCTTTTAACTCTCAGTAGTATATTACTGTCTTCTAAATCCCTTCTCTACTGCTGCCCTATGGTTCTGGCTTCTACCCACTGCGGCACACTTATCCTCAAATATCATATAATTCTAATCTCTGGAGGCTGGCAGCTTGACTTGGCACTTTAGGGCCCCTTAGCAGGGTGAGCTGTTAAAACAGCACACATCTCTCACCCCGTCTTCCTCCATTCCCCACTGGGTTTTGGAAAGGAAGGATACATGGGGACCACCTCCCTCCTCTTTGATCCCAGCATCTCAGTCCCCCTCCCAACCCTCCATATGGCTCTCAATGGTGCTCACTTGCTTGGAAGCAGGCTCCCAAGAGGGAGGGGGCTGCCCTCTGCACAGTCTCTTTGACTGTAGGACAGGGCTCTTTATCAGTGAGACGGTGAGAAAAGTCCCAGGCTAATGGCAGAAATTTGCACTTTGAACATGTGTGTCTTTGTGTTGTGGAACCTGAGATTCCTTATTTATTAACAGAAGGTCTGATTTTTTTTTTTTCCTTTTGGTCTTTATTGCTATATTTTATGGGGCTGGGCTGAGAGAGATTAGATTATTCTGGCATGGGATCCTGTCCACAAGAGGTACTTTGAAGATAAGACATAGAGTTGGAGAAGCACAGCCAGCCTCTGAAATCATAGCTTTCCAGTGGCCTTTAAAGAAAGCTGGTCCTCAGCACTAACAAAATCACTACAATAGCCTAGTGCTTTTTTGGAAGTCTTTTTAGGGAAGGATGTTAGGTTTGTGGTAACTAGTGTGCTCTTTAAGATTTTTAGAGCATTGAGATTTAGGAATTTTGAGGGGATGAGGAGAGTTGTTCAGTATCTAAATTACAGATAAAGGATTTTCTCTTGTGAATTTGTTTCTTTTCTTGTCCCCATCATTTCCTTCCATATACCTCCCTGTTGGCCCAACTCTAGCCCCTTGCCTTGTTTTTGTTTCTTGCTTTGCTTTATCATTGGTTCATTCCAGCTCCCTATTAGTGAAGGGCACTGCTGCTTAGTGAAGGAGCAAAATCTACAAGTCCTAAAGTTTTAAGTCAAAGAAAACTGCTCTGTTTTGTTTCCCACACTTCAGAAGAAGAAAGGCTTCAACAGACAAATTAATAATTTGTGTAATAATGGCTTTGGCTTTCACCTGAAGTTCTGGGAATTACCACTTTCCTTGGGATACAGATTTTTCATGGGGTATAGATTGCTTATTACTGTCCATGGGAGAAACAGGTAGTTCATAACTCCCAGAAGACTAAAAACCTATTTTGGCTCATTTTTAGAGAATTGCAAAGGGCAATTCTTATCCTTCTGTGTACCTTAGAAGCTGGAATGGAAGGCTTACCCTGTTCATTGTTTATTGTCAGAAATGTATGACGGCTATTGGAAAGAATGAAGTTTTGCTGAAAAAAAAAAATAAGTGACAGCTTGTTTTTCACAAACACTAAAACTACAGAGTTTATCAATTTTATTTTTTATTTATTTTTCTCCCAAAAAGGGGGGTAACAAAATGGCATTTCTGAAAGAGGCGTACTTTATACCCACTCGTGTCAGTGGTTGGGATGCCAGAAATAGGGAGTGAGACACCTACGGCAAACAGTCTTAAATGCACTATTGTTTCTTTTCAGATTGCTGCAGATTTGCCATCCCTCCGATGTGGGGTAGAAAATGGAATAAGGCTAGAAGGGTGGTAGAATATGCTTTCCTACCCATAGTAAGGATTTGGAATTGACTTTGGTATTTTGAGTATATTTGAAAATACTACAAGATCGATTGGATGGGCCTACAAAAAAGTTGTTCTACCCTTGAATAAGTCCATTTTATACTGTTTCACTAGCTAGCATCTCTATCCCACACTTAGCTTTTGTCTTTGTCACACTTTTTCTGGCTCCGTAAATTTCATTTGCATTGGTTAGTCATCAGATATTTTAGACACCTACACAAACAAAAGCAAACTGCATCTTAAAAAGTCTCTCTCTGAGATGGGGAAAAATGTTATCCTTTCCTATGCTATTCTCCCATTTCACAAAAAGCAACTAGTTAGGTCTACTAATTAAAAACTATCTGCTTTTTTTCCGTTTTTCTTTTTTCTTTTGTCTTCATAGTTACCATTTACCTATAATAAATTATTGTGGCAGTTTGCAATAAATTTTAAAATATTTTTCATACTTTTTTTTTTGAGAAAGGGGTGCTAGCATAGTGAACAGTAGATATAAATAAACTTAAATATCTAAGCCCTCTTGCTGTTTTCCATTCTGCTCCACATGCTGTTTATTTCATTGTTTTTCCAGGGAGCTCTTTGAATCTTAAAATTCTACATTTTGTACTCTTGGTCAAATTCTGTTACCTTTTTAATAACTTCTCCCACTGCATATTCTTCGTTTTGAATTGGCAATTCTAAATTCTGAAAATGTAATAAGATACAACTCAATATTTCTGGGAAATGTGCTTCCCTCTAGTTTGTGGTTGTCCTGGTTATTGAGCATGGTTGAGACTCCTTCTTAAAATACTTCAGAGAGTTTAGACAAACACTGGCCGTGGGAGTCCTGGGAACAAAAAAAATTATTAAGGTATAGAAAAGCATCCACATAGAGCACTTGATCCTCCTTTGTACCTGTTTGGAGAAAACATATAAAGAGTACACTACTAAGGTTATTACAGTCTGGTTGTTTGAAATACCATTTCTTCCTCCTCCTCTGTCTTTTTCTCACTTTCCAATGTACTCAAGAAAATTGAAAAAATGTAATGGATCAATTTAAAATATTTTATTTCCTAGAAGCCTTTTTGCCTGTTGTAATGTGCAGGACCCTTCTCCTTTGGTGGGAGAGACAGGTAGTTACCTGAATCTAGGTTCAAGAGGTTATGTAAAAAGAAATTATAATAAAAGGGATACTTTGCTTTTCAAATTCTTGTTTTCTCTTAATCTAGGTAAGACATATTCAAAATAAATAATGTAAAGAAGAAAAATAAAAGTTGTCTTCATGGAAGCAACTTGTCTTCCTTGGTTGTACTGAGTTATAGTTAGTTGAGGGGTGCAACAATTAGTGCTGCTAAATGAAAAAACCAAGTGCCCTCAGATCAGGTTTTATGTGGAGTTCCCTCATTGAGAATTATGCAGTTAACTTTTGAATCAGTTTAATTCTTGATTTCTGACGCTGAAGTGCCATATTCTGTGATCATTCAGCAAACTTGGAAATCTCTGATATTTGACGGCCTTCTACTAGGAAAAGTGACCATATTAATCTAGTAGATGGAAGATTAAGGATTCGGCAATGTTAATTTCACTGTGGTAATAACAAAACCTTGATAGCATTTAATATCAGTGCTTTTTCACAAAATTAAGTGTCCATTTCAAGTACTGACCTTTAACAAAAAGAAAAAAACTATAATCCTCCTGACTTCTTAAAAGTCCTACTGTGACAGCTGCCCAGGCCTCTCCCTTTATCCTTCATTCATTGTTTACCTATGTAAATTTGTTCCTGAGGTGGCATGTGTTTCAACTTACTGGCAACATCTATGATACAAAATAGTTAAGGCTCATTGATTCAATCTAGGATGAAACTTGCAGCCCTTACCCAATTAGCATCACCCTCTGAGTCAAACGCAACAGGCTGACAACTCTCCAAACACCTTTTAACTTTTTTGCCCTCATTTCAAAGCCTAGCTCATTCTCTTATTTTGTTAAGAAGCATGTGGTATGACTGGGATAGGGAAGGAAAAGAAAAGCATGTTGTCACTTGAGTGAGACTGTCTTACAAATGTTACCAAGTTAGGGTTGGGTGTTTCCTGTCCTTGGAAAAGAACAGGCCTAAACAGTACCTTCATCCTACAGCTACCAAGAAGGCATCATGATTGAGATTAGAGATGCTCCCTTGGTTGGTTTTAATCAAACATAAATGCTTTCAAAAATATTTATAAAAAGGATAAGAATGAAAAAAATGCTGTATTTTTAAAGGACCTACTTCATACAACCTTTGTTTCTTGAACAAAATATGAACTACCTAAAGAAAGGAAAAAAAGCTTCAGTTTCTCATATGGTAGAAATAATATTTACCTCAATTATTCTCAGGATCAAATGGAGTTGCTTTAAAGCTTTTAGCACAGTGTTTGACTCATAGTAGGTGCTTAATAAATGGCACCTATATTAATAATAAAAATATTGAATACTTTTTCAGACCAAAAAAGACAAAAGGGACATGGGGAGCATTAAGGGAGGGTGGTAATAAAATGAACTGATCATATGTGTTTATAAAATAGATTACATTAGGCAGAGGTGTCTTGAGGATTAGTGTGATAGTGACCTTGTTGCTAAGTGCAAAAGCAAAAACAATGACACAAAAACAAGTGTGCTAAGTACTGAGTGGAGGAGAGATGGAGGCAGACGCTGCAGGAAAAAAAGTTGATTAAAAAGGGCCCTTTGATTCCACAGGCACAAAAAATCCACAGCCAGGAATTTGCTGCCACCTCTGAGTCAGGCAGGGGGTGGGGGTGGGGTGTACAATCCCATTAGTAGAGAATGCCCAGTGGATTTAGTCTGTGAGAGTCACATTTCTTATTTGGACCAGTATAGACAGAAGCAAACCCAGCTCACTTGTTTCCTGGGACAGTTGAGGTAGGGGATGGCTTTCGCAGAGCATTCACCGCTGACCCCCTGTCGCCGAGACCTCTGTAGCCGTTCTATCTGGCTAGCCAGGAAGATTCGTTCAGACCTGACTGCTCTTACAGAATCCTATG